CCCCAGGTGCTCACATACCCCAGGTACTCAGATGCCCCAGGTGCTCACATGCCCCAGGTGCTCACATACCCCAGGTGCTTACATGCCCCAGGTACTCAGATGCCCCAGGTACTCAGATGCCCCAGGTGCTCACATGCCCCAGGTGCTCACATACTTGCGGCTCTTTTTCTCTCTGGGTGAAATGATGAACTCAGTTGCTGCCTGTGCCCATGGCTGGTGGACACAGAAGAGTACAGAAACCAGTTGGGCAGTGGTGATACCTGCTTTTAATCCCAGCACTCAGGAGGCAGAGGCAGGCAAATCCAGGAATTTGTGGCCAGCCTGGTATGCAGGATGGCCAGGCCTATGTATACAAAGAAACCCTGTCTCAAACAGGAGGAAGGGAGGGAAAGAGGAAGGGAGAGAGGGAGGGGAGGAAGGAGGGAGGGAGGGAGGGAGGGAGGGAGGGAGGGAGAGAGAGAGAGAGAGAGAGAGAGAGAGAGAGAGAGAGAGAGAGAGAGAGAGAGGATGGCCACCGATTCCGAACGTGAGCTGGGCTCACACTACACGTTTGCTTAGATAACCCCATTTAGCTTTTCCCTGAAGCTCTCCGAATTTAGCACCATTTCCTCATTATAGCCACAGAAACCAAAATAGACAAATTTGGATATCTTGTCCCAAATTGCAAAGCTAAGAAACACAAGAGCCAAGATTCCCGCCCATGCCAGGCTGAGCATGAACCCCCTGCTTTCCCTCCACCAATGCATCCTCCTTGCTAAAGACAGATTTAGGGGACTTCCTGAGACCTCTCCCAGCTGTGTTCACCCTGGAAGGTTCCATGGTAAGGGCTACCCTGATATCTAAGACTTGGCCTTGACTTGACCCAGCTCTTAGACATTGAATCCTGTACCTTGGTGGAAATGGGGCTAGCTTACGAACCAAAGAGACCCTGGAACCAGCTCGGTGTTGTGAAGAAGCGAGTGTGCAGACAATCAGACCCAAGAACAGGCTGAAGATCTGCCATTCACTGGGGAAATATACCAGTCTTATCCCGGGATCCTCGCCTGTGAGGGAAAACACATTTCTCTGGTGGTGTTATAGACAGACAAGATACCTAGGCTTCATCTCCTCAGATGCTGTCTCCCTCCTTTCTGCCCCCAATGCCCTGCTTGGTTCGTATTTCAAATCCCTGGGCTCCCTTCCTTGCACTGAGCCAGGATCCCATGACGGGAGTTGGAGGTGGGGAGTGGGTCTGCTGAGAAGCATCTGGAGGCCTCTGTGTCCCCTTTCAGTGTCCCCTGTCCACAAGGCTGTGACCCTTTTAATATACTTTCCAGAAAAGTAACTCCTGAACCAGTACCCTGAGAAGGACTGGGCTGGGCTGAGCTGACAGGCTGCAGCTGGGCACTGAGCAGGCCAGGGAGGTTAATTCCGCTTTCATAGCAGTCTTCCGCACATGGCCTCGGGGAGTGTGCCTCTTCTCACAAACAGATTGGAAATCCCGGTGATGAGCCCCTCATTTCCAGCTCCTTGGCAGTCTGCCACAAAGAGAGCTCGCTGGCCTTGCTGGCCCTGTCTTACAGGAGAGAAACAAAGAAAGAAAGCAAATATTTGTCGAGCGTTGTCCGTGATGGATGCCAGGCTAGCTCTAGCACTGATCCCAGTAAAGTCAGCAGATGAGCTTAGAGCTCTAGTTCTGGGGTTCAAGTCTGGCTTCTTCTTCACAAGGGGAACTAGGGGTCATCCAGACAAAAGCCATGTCAAAGCTGAGCTATGAAATCCTGACCCCCCAGGGGTGCTTTAGAGCCCGGCAGAATAGTAATGGGAGATTTTAGAAACACCCACACTCACCCTGTGTGCAGAAGTCTGAGAGACCTGATCTGGCAGAGAGTAACTGAAGTAAGAATCCTGACCCAGAATAGTGACATCATGCAGACTCCCGGAGAATAACCCACACACACTCAGGCTGGAGACAGGGCCTTTCTACATTCCAGACTGAGTCTGGCAAAGCCACTCTTTGTGTTAGGACATCCCAGCCCAGATTTGTGGTCCTAATCAGCTGGGCCCTGCACAACCGTGTGCTCAGGTGAATGTTGAGAAAAGAACAAACAATGCGGGATCCATTAGGGGAGACTCCATACCTGCGCTTCTCCTATGAGCCTGTAATGGATGACACTATTCTCTCCCAGGACCACTAGCGTTTTGGAGGCTATACTCTGGAGAGAGGAGGAGATAGACTGAGGAGCCAGTAAGTTCAGGCTTGGGTCTTAAAATGGCAAGGTGAATTACTCCTCCTCTTTGGGCCTCAGTTTCCTCTTTGTGTATAGTCCAGGAGAGCATCCTCCATCCTCACCCTCAACTCACTGAACTGTCAGTGAGACCTCATGAGGGAACACTTCATCTGAGGTGACACATCCTGCCCAGAGGGACTCAACATGGTTCCTAGGATGTATGTTTCTATGGAAAAGATGCCCTGTTCATGAGTCTTCCAGGCTAACATTCACCTATATGAGGTCCTCTGTGGCCTGAGTGGGGACCTTTTCTTTGTTCTGCACCCCTGAGGAAGCCGACCAACTCAACAATGTGTCTGTAAGCAATGCAACAGCTCAGCTCTAGCACAACCCAGGAGCTACTTCCCTGGCCAACCCTTTGACCCTCTGCTGCATCCTTTTGTCCCCTCGACTGTGATGCCTGTCTTGGGTATGCTGGTCGCCTCTTCCGGCTCCCTGCACTCCACCTGGCCCACCATCCACTGCTGACCTTGATGGCGCCCCTGAATTCCAAATGAAGTCATTGCCCACTTACGTTCCCAGCATCCGCTCTGCTCGGCACCCTGTACCACAGCCTGGTCCAGTGGGATGCTTGGGACCTGTAAAGGCTGAAGGAGGCCCTTGGGAAAATAGCTTGCTGGATCCCTGGCCACCCTAAGCTCCCTATCTGTTGAGAAGTCCACCAGCACACGAGAGGGTGGCCCCTGTGAACTCATGAGGGATCACGGAATATTGGTCCTGATGAGGTGGGTACTCATCCTTAGGCAAGGAGTAAAGCTGGAAGGCATCTGCTATCCAAGCAGATGCCAGCGGAACTGGCAGCCAAGGAGACCAAGAGTGCTTGGCAGGCAAACATGATGGTGTTTCCCACTCCCTGTGATATCCTGCACAAGGAAGATGCAGTAAATACCCACGAGGCTTTCCTGAATTCGTAAGACAGTGGGAAGATGCCATGTATTCCATATGCCTGAAATGCAACAATGACACCGTTTTGACCATGAGACCTGTCCACTAAGCATCACAGACACCCACTAAGGGAGACATCGCCTCCTTTTAACACAAAAGAAAAATATGCAGGTTAGATAATTTCCCTAAGGCCACAGCCAGGAAGAACCAGTCTTTTGTTTTTGTTTTTTTAAGATAATTTATGGAGAGCTGAAGATACAGCTCAGTTGATAGGATGCTAGCCTAGCTTGCACAAAGCCCTAGGTGCAATTCCCAGCGTCATGTCAAATGAGCCATGGTGGCAAACCACCTGTAATTCCAACACTTGGGAGATAGAGGCAGGAAGATTAGGAATTCAAAATCATCCTTCACTGCATGACAAATTAGAGACCAACCTTGGCTACACAAGACCCTGTCTCATCATCATCATCAACAACAACAACAATTGGTTTTTACTTCTTTGTTTTGTTTTGTTTTACTTTTTTACCGAGGTGAAATGTCCATAGTATAAAATGGCCTGTTTTTAAGTGACCGAGTAAAGGAGACAGACTTTTCCTCACCTTCTCTCCTCAGCTCCTTGTGGGGGAGACCTAACTGGACCAGCAGGAGTCATTCTGTCACCAAACTACCCAGAACCCTACCCACCAGGCAAGGAGTGTGACTGGAAAGTGACCGTCTCTCCGGACTACGTCATCGCCCTGGTATTTAACACGTATGTACCTTTCCCGGGCTGGGAGGCCAAGGGTTTTGAGACCTTAAGGTTTGAGGTCCTGGGTGGCCAGGTGAGTCCTCACAGATGTGTGGCAGAGTTCTCAGGTCCAAGGGTAAGAGAGAGATGGAGATGGGCAGGGCTTCCAGCATCCACTGGCTATCTTCTCTGCCCCAGGACCTGTGTCTACAGGATCCTTGCAATAGTTTCTGAGGCAGCTAACATTTTTTTCTCTTACACTTTTGCAGCTGCTGATTACAAAGGAGCCCTAACCTGGGTCTCTGTGTTCTACCACATTTTATGGCCCTCTCCCCAGTGCCTTCCTCCATACCTATGTTTTGCAAGTCTCCGTGACCTTTCCACCTAACCCGTGTACCCACACCTTCATTCCATTCCCGGGCAGTACTCCATAGAGCTACCCTACCCACTCCCTACTTCCTCCCTCCAGTGGCCTTCTGGGCTACTAAAGCCTGGCTGCTGCCCCAACAGTCCCATTAGGAACTTTTCTAATAAAAGACTCCAGCATGGGCTGGGGCGGTGGCTCAGTCAGTGCTTGCCACACAAGCCTAAGGGTCTGAATTTGAAAGGCCAGGCATGGCAACACATGCTTGTAATCCCAGCACTGGGGAGGCAGAGATAGGCTGCTCCCTGAGGCTCCCAGCCTAGCCTACTTGGCAAGCTCTAGGCTAGTGAGAAATTCTCTGTCAACACACAAGGTGAACAGCTCTTTGAGGAACAATGCCCAAAGGTGATCACTGTATGGTGTATGGTATAGGTGACCACTGTATAGTATATGGTATAGGTGACCACTGTATGGTGTATG